TAATTATATAAACGGATTAAAATAAATTACATAATTTAGATTATTATAACATCAACATTTTGGGGTACATTTTCATCATTAGTATTACGCACAACTAATAAGTATTAATCGCTTTTCTACTTATTCGACACTGAAAGATGATAATATTGATAACACAAGGTATGTTTGTGATTAAAATGCTATCATGTGCTCGTCATGTTACATAATATACATTCACCACCTATCAGTATACACACACACATACACGCTCATCATGCACACAAAACACATATACTATCGATAATAAATTGTATACATAATGATATTTACTTACAGTATTTCTTGTTTCTTGAGTATTCTGTCGTAAGTCTTGGAGCATATCAAAATGGAAATATATTTAAGTTAGAATTTTTGTTTATCTGGTTTTTTTTCGTTGCATGTAGGTATATTATGTATTATTTATCTCTCGGAAGCTGTTTAACCGTTGATCGGTTTTAGTCGTTACATGTCGATTATACGATTTTAATTTACTCGTACATGTATGCCGATAGATGTCTAGTCGAAAACTGTTGCATTACGAAAACATATTTGAACGGAACACGTAATTCCGATGGAGTGACACTCCCCTGTTTATTCGATGCCGCCAGCGGGGAAGGGTCCCAACCACAACGAACCCTGGTGGAAGTTTTTCCTTCCGTAAATGTCAGCCCCTCTCTTGTACTGGGTCAAATCGATTGTGTTTAAGACGATCTCGCGTTGAACGTTTCAATGAATTAATGTAAGCATTATGTTTGCTGCAGTGGTAAACAATATCAATACATCAGTAGGTACTTACATCACAGTTAAGTGTAATCTCGAAACGATTAGATTACACAATTTTTTCGGGGTCCCATTAATCTGTATTGGCTCAAAGTTTTCAAATTCTAGTTCATTAGAGGGGGTGATAGTCGTAGTTAGGGGGTGTATTCAAATTCAACAACAATAATAATTTTTTTTTTTCAAACCGTATTACTGTTAATTTGGTAAACAGTTTATATATTATACATACTCAGTCAAATATAACATAATATACTGTATAGCTACATTATGTATAGGGTATTATAAAAACAATTTGTTTATGAACAAGCAGCATATTATAATATATTTTATAATAATTATTATACGTCRATGTATAAACTATTATTATAAAAAGTGAAATATACATGTATAAAAAATATTTTATTTACTTATGACTAAAGCGATTAGCATTTGTAGGCTTTGTAAATAAATATATACTCGTATTATATAAGTTTAAAAAAAACATTTTTAAAAAAGAAAATGATTTTTGGTGTACATAATTATTGATTTAGATTCAGGTGAAGTTAAAGCTGAATATAAATGTAAGTATAAATGTAGTTATATTGAATCAGTGAACTGAAAATATTTAGCACTCGCTTTTGTGCCTGAGAAAAAGCCATTATTAAATAGCAAATGTGTGTGTCTATTGATCAATAATCGCCATCTTCTTCGTCTGTACTGAATGGCCGTTTAGACAATTTTCTCCTGTAAATTATAATTGCAATAAATTATATACTTTTTCGGTACATAACACATTATTCTGTTAAATAATAAATATTAATGGCATTTTGTTTATTATAATATTATTATGGTACGTATTTAAAAATAAAATGTTTCGGAATTTATTTATAGTTACAATTTAATATTAGGTTGTAATTTGAAAGTCAATCACTATCTTTCTATTTTTGTAATTTCAGTTAAAAGGAAAAAGTATGATTACTTAAATCCAGTTGGTACCTATTCATTTTTTTATTTTGAGATTAAGCCTCAATAATGGGTTATTAGCAGATGCTAAAATTCAAATTTTGTTTATAAATTAATTTGTTTGTAAAAATTATTGTTTGTTTGATCATGGCTTCATCAGGTTCCATACAATTTTGTTGGCGTTACGTCAGTATTAATTATTTTATTAATATATAAAATTGAATACATTATAATTGTGCCTAATGTTGGATTCTAAAGGTACAGAAATTGTTTAAAATGTATATTGTGTTGCACTGTTACGTCATTTTCTTTATAACTTTATCGTTAAAGTTTCTTTATTCTTTAAAAAAAACATAGATTGCATGGCTTTAATATACAAGTTAATAAAAACTAATTTTGTTTATATAGTGTTTAAAACTTTCCATTTCTTAACTTAATTAAATTTAAAAGCTGAATGCAGTGATTTTTATTTTTTAGTTTGGAATGTTTTCAAAAATGTTATTACGAAATTATCTTTTATACAGTCGMGCAGTAAATGTAGTATAAATAAGAGTAGACATGTTGGACATTAGACTTAAAATTATAGGATCGTTGACGGCAATAAATTGTCGTTATTGTCGAATGAATAATTATATATAAGTTGAATACTATRTATATGTAACTCTAATTTAATGTCAGACATATATTACAAGGAGTGGTGTAATAATTTTATGAAATACATTTCATTCGAGTCTTCGTAGTGTATTTTCTTGTTTTCGTTCGGCTCGTTGGGTATTATTATTGTTATTGTTATCACATTTATGTGAGCAATTATTTTTTTATTGTACAGTTTTGWGTTGGATTCAATTGAATTGCGTGTGCTGTGTGGAACGACTGTAGACAAAATTTTACAGTTATAACGATTTAAACTCGAGCGATCGTCGTAAAACTCACATGTTCACATCGTCGCGGTTTGATTAATTGCGTGTGAGAGTAAAACAAATTATATACAGCATAATAATATCATACAGTGTTGGTTGACAGTGCCTACATTATTGTCGATATGGATAAGATATAATATGGGATTTATAAAGCATCGATCGGGTTTATATAGCATTGAGAATATTCAGTCGGAGAATAAAAATGTTTTTATTCTTTTTATGGAAATGCGAAATCTTTTAGGGTGAAAAAAAATCGAAAAAAATACAGCCTATACATAGCGCTGGATAGACGAATTGCACGGGAGTGCTGTTCGACCTTATATAATTCCATATAATAGCATGGTTGTGAACCTTTTTTTGGTCACGTGCCAACATTTCGTAATCAAAGTTAGTAATAATATGTTCATATAGGACCTATATAAACGATTTTTTAATACCAGATTTAGATTTTGTTAGTCCTAAAATATGTTTTAATAAATCACAAACAGTATTATAGCTTCATCCAATAATATATTTTTCTTCCATTTTGATTTGGAATCATTCACTGTGGACAATCATCATCGTCACATGTATCTGATGCGTAAATTAAGATTAATTGCAATGAGTCGTTTTTTTTTTCAAAGTCTAAAATATTATGTCTGCAGAAAGTAGCTGTGTGTTTCGAATGTTTATAACTAGTAATAACTTAATTTTTGAAAACAATAAAGAATTCTTTTCGTCAACCGAAGATTGATCAATGAAATAAAAATATGTCTGAGTGCTGTTTAAATTCGGCTCTATACAGGATTACTGCAGTTCGGTATTTATATCCAAAGGAACGGTGAAAAAAAAATAAGAGATGCTCACCGGATCACTAGTTGCGGGTTTTCGTTTTTGATTGCCGCCGTCTTTCTCTTGTCGATCATGAACTCTCGCTTGAGCGCCGGACAGTACCAGTAACACAGTACCGTGCACGACAGCACGAACAGCGTCCAGGGTATGACCACGGCGGCCACCAGGGTCTTGATGGTGTGGTGCCAGTCGTAGTCGGCCACCACCCTGTCGGGGTAAGCGCGGCTGTAGTAACACGGGAACACTTTCAGTGCGACCGCCGACGTCGCGACGGAGACTTCTCGCTCCGGCCGGTCAACCGCGGTCATCCGGAGCGCGCCGTCGGAGGCTTCCAACAGCGTTGGCGGCGGAAGTAGTGCCAGCGGTGTCGTCTCGTTACCGTGCCTGTACAGTTCTCGGATCACCGGCTGTTTGATGYTATCGAACTCGGGGATGTCCTCCACACCGATGTGGCCGTACTTCAAGGCGAACGTGGTGCAGTTGACGAATGGCGGATATCCGCACCCTTCGGTGTTCACCAGGAACCGGACCACCGTGCCCGCCCATTTCAGTGACTCGGGAGACATGCGATCCTGCAACACGTCCAAAYACATCGTCATCGTTACGACGTCGTGTCGGTGTATTTTGAAAACTAGATTTGAAATCATATATTTTTGAATATAATATATTGCTGCAGCGAGGTTGTTATTTTAAATGACTACGTGCAATGCCCTATATTCGTTRTCTGTAATATTGYAAGACAGGTGTASGTCGTGGAAATCCGTCAGTATTTATAGTYTSATAAAAATAAAATTAGTATMTTTACTATAATAGTCGTTAGTGAGTTTGATTTAGCGATCGATGTACAGAGGTATATTGTAATGAGTTTATTTCGTTTATCTCATTTTTATTTGAATATATTGTAAAAAAAAAATAATCAAGTATTCTCATTAAGTGAAATTGAGTTGATACTATGGTATTGTTATATATCAGAAAACAATATATATTATATATGTTTATAAAAAATTTTGATTCGAATTCTCAGCGATTTGATTTGATTTATTAAACTTTTTACGTTTGTGTATTTTTATATTCAAATTATTTGTACTCATACATTAAAMAAWTCATTATTTATTGTTACTGAAGCTAGGCGTATAGTAGGAGTTTTTCTAATATAACAAAGAAAATAAACTAGATTATACACCGGTAAAGCTTTCTAATATAAATATTTATTGGTTACCGGTTTCGGCTCCACCACACAATTTATTTATTTTTACGATGGCTTTGTTTAGGTAGCGACGAAAAGTGTTGGGTACACATCTTRGTCGTTTCGTGTCGTATACAAGAATTAACAGCTCATTTTAATTAGTTATAACATTTTATRGTTTTTGACGTTAACCTCTGTTATAGCGTTAGGTTAGGTTAGGTCCTAATCCGCCTTTAAAACTCATAAAACCACCCGAAGTCGATCAATCATTTTAATCATTAAAAGTTTTACAAGATTTCGATTTAGTTTTATACTATTTGTTTTTTCGTATCAAACACGTCTTAGTTATTTTTCAATAWACTGTTAGCTTATATAGTTGAGCTTTTCACGTTACCTTTTATGGTCAATTTATAACGAATTTACTGCCATTTTTCCAATTATCTTAGAATATAATTTATTTGAGTTTCTTTTCTTGTCATTTTTTCGTGATTATTGGGAATTATTAAATTTAAGATGACTATTTGTATATTTAAACGAGAACGACTTTTCATTGGAAACTTAGATGGAAATGTGTTGTATATTTTTTAATTTTCTTTTACGATCTAAAGTTAAGACTAATCGAGCTATTTAGATATTTCGTATTGAAGTTGTGGCTTGGAAAAATAATGGAAAAAATAAATTATTTGTTGTTTAAAGTATCTATTGTGGATATTTGTATTATTATTTTTTAACACATTCAACTTAATCCATGTGTTTCAGCTGAGGCTTTATTTTAGGATATCTTTCTTGTGCATTTTAAATCTGTAGTTCAAAAAGTCATTGTTTTTGGTACCTATCCAAACTATTATGTTTTTAATTTAATTTGCAGTCATTAGATCACTGGTAAAATGTGAAAACATGAACGCATTTTGTGATCAATCGCGTCGATTGATAGTGGTGTACTCGCCGACACCATTAACTGCAGATGACTTTTTATATTGTGTCCTATCGGTTTTGTATTCATTGTCTTCGTTGTCATGTAGTTAAAAATATTGTCTATGTCTCTGTACTTATGTACAATTCGTATCAATTTAGAAAAATAATCCACAAACGTCTTAAAAAACAAAAACAAAAGAAAACACCCTAAACGTAATGTTTTCTAAATATTATATAGTACGCCCTTCGGTTTCGTGCCTGTTCGTATTGTTGGTACGGCGTCAGTGAGTAGTTGACGGTTATCTGATGGCACCGCGTGGTGGCCGACGTGCAGCCTTCCCGGCACGACGACCACGTACACTTGCTCAAGCCGGCCGCGAACACGTGCTCATGCAGCGCGCACGTGCCGGGCTCGGGCGCGTACCGGGCGATCAGCCTGGACACCGCGGGGTCGACGACGAACGGCACGAGGAACAGGAACACCATGAACGACAGCACGGCCGTGGTGCCCAGGCACAGGCTCACTTTTGGCTTGATGCGCTCACAGAACCCATCCTCGGCCGGTTCGCCGAGCAGTCTCGATCCTTCGTCCTGGCTGGGCAGTCGGCTCCGCATTTCCCTCTCGTCGTCAGCGACATTTCCGGCCATAATTTCCCTTAGTTAGTCGCTATATCTGCGGAGGACAAAAGAAAATCACTCGTGTTGATTATATATAGCTACATGATTCGACGGTGGTCGGCTCATCAATGATGTGTATATATTGTAAGAGTTTTTGAAAATTCAGAGTAAAGTCTTGATAAAAATTTCAGGAATCGGAGTTTTAAAAATGCCATAGTTAGAATATAAAATTTGGTCGAGCTTACTATACTTAAATAGTTCTGTATATTATATAATAGGCAATCTATCGAATTTCACAGTATTGAGGAATTG